GAAAGGGTTTTGCAAAAAAAAAAAGAAAAAAAAAATGTATCCTCACGCCATTACCTAGTTTACAATTCGTAAGCGGATCGTCCATATTTCGTTGGAGGTTTCGCGATGGATGTGGGTACGCGCGCCACTTGGCCGAGCGCAGCCCGCGGGTAAATAGAAACACCGAGAAATGGAGGATTCGGAGTAGGCCGCGGCTTCCAATTAATAAAAAAAAAAATATTGGCCAAATTCTCTTGCTCGCAAAAGAAAAGTTGGCCGCGTTCTCGCGTCGCCAGGAGAAAAAAAGAAACCAGAAGCGAGTCTCTCGCGTGGAAGGGCAATAAGTCAATCCGTTGTTTTATACACGCTCGCGCGCATGGCTTGGCAACAGCGGCCCGCGACTCCTCTTATCGTGGAATCGATAAATAATTCGATCAAAAGGTCGCTTAATGCTAGCCCAATCTTGCGTGCTCTCCTTTTCCTCCCCTATCCTGAAAATTACGACTCAACTTACCGTGACTTACCCCCCCCCCCTATCCAGAAATAAAAGCTCTTTCGATGCTCCCCCTCATATACACAAGCTTTAATCGCGCAAAACAAACGAGAGATTTATCGCGCGCAATATACAAAAAAAAAAAAAAAAAAAAAAACTCTCTTTGCGCGATTGTTCACATGCTGTGGGGATTGACACAAAATGATGAAATTTTTCGTAACGAATCGCATCGGCGCGGGTATAGGCGTGGAAAACTCGTTGGCGAGAAAATAATAAATTGTGCCAGAGGCGCGGGGTATTAATCAGCCTCGGCCCATCTACCACGAATAAATTAAAAGGAGGAAGAAATAAAAAAGGTCCTGCCAGGGATAATTAATTAATTCGATCTCCGGGTTGATCGAGGGTTGGACGGCGGGGGGAGAGCTGCAGTTCCATGTCAAACGGCTAATCAGCGGATCATCGACGACACGTCGGTGGGGAGGGGAGCTTTTGAAATTAAGCGTCGAGAGGGCAGGAGTAGCACGTGGACGTGTTGTGTATAGCCAACCCCCTCTAGGGGTAGGGAGGGTATCGGAAAAAGCACGCGAACCCGGAGGTGGCCGGCTCTGGCTAGCGAGCGCTTGATAAATGGATTATTTACTTGAATAATGCAGAGTGGAGGTGGACGCCTCTCTCTCTCTCTCTCTCTCTCTCTCTCTCTCCTCGAATTTCAACGCTGTTGGCAAGTACAGCCTACAGAGTGTGTGTACGCGTGTAGTTTACCGGCGCCACCAGCCGGTCATTTCTCTCTCGTTTTNGTAAGATGTCGCACTCTCCTTTAAATAATCTCGAAACCTACCCAGTGCTGTATTTCTCGTCAAAATATACTTAAAAAAAAAAAAAAAAAAAAAAAAAATAAAGCCAGATGGAGAGATTTCTCAGCGAAAGCAGCTATTCAGAGCCTCACGTGTTTACCTTCCGAAGAAAGAAAGGGGGAGAGCTAGCTTGCTGCCACTGTACAGAGTCGGGTATCTGCACTTGGTCTATTTCCTCATGCGTTTGTGTTATCAACCATCATATGTATACGTGTGAGCGCGAATACACACCCAAATCCATTAACAGCTGTGGTATCGGCAGCACCTTCAAGCGATAAACCTATGCGAAAAGCTTATTAATCTCACACACAGGCTGTTGCCAGCTCATTTCTCCTTGTACTCTTATACCACGTGATTTTTCGACATTTCAAGTTTGCTGGCACATCGATACATCTCTAAAGTGTCAAGTGTAACATTGCATTCGTTTCGTTTTCCATTCAAAGACAAATAAAAAATAAAATTCAAAGAATGGACACGACGTGTTCTTGCATTTGATATTTTTTGGATCACCGAACATAATCCAAAGACCAAGCTGTTCTATAATTTTTTTTTTTTCTTTTTTTTTGTCGTTTTTGTAAATTTAAATTTCTTTGCGATCCTGTGCAATAATTAGAATAAATTGTTAAAGTCTAGCTCTCGATACCGAATCAATTATGGAGTGCTCCTTACCTCTTTTTTCAAAAGCACGCACCAGACGCTACAATTTAATAAACTTTGTCATTTTGTACACTGAAAGGAAGAAAAAAAAAAAATCAATTCCAACAGCAAAAACCGCCGTAACATTAGCAAAACTTCAATCCGTAAAACTTCGGCCCTCGAGTAGAATATTCATAAAACTCGAGTCAGCGGAACGTCGTAAAATAAAAATTTATCCCCCAAAGTACATAATAGAGCCGGAATAAAAAGAACCCTCCCCACCGAGAAGAGGGGCGGGAGAGGAAAAACGGAGAGAAGTTTTAATTTGATTTTGCTCGAGCACGAGTCTTTGCATCAATCCAGTACATACACGGGGGTATAGGTACGTCGAGCCGACCTCAAAAATAGGATCATCAAGATAGGCGAGATATCACTCGCGGGCCTCCACGGAGCAAAGTTCGAAAGCTAATTTTCGTCCCGAACAGACGGGACGAAACACTTACGGACAGGCACACAAAAAGCCGACTAATGAGGTATAAACGGCACCCGGGCACGTGACGATCGTTTGGGTACCGAAAGAAGAAAAAGTAGACAAATGACCCCAGGGAGTAGTCCCAACTCAAGACGGGGTATCTATATTAATCGAAGTACTTGCGCACCGCAACTCCTGTACGGAGGATCATTCGCTCCGAATTAACTAGTCTCCGGCACTAAACCTCCACGGAACTCTAAAGTTCGAGGTAGGCAGGTATGTACATATAGGTAACAGCAGGCGCTGCGTGACGAGTCGCATCATCGAACTTTGCCGATTTGTCGTCGTTTCCATTCGTGCTCGCGCGCACCCCACAATGTACATGTGTATATATACACCGACGAAACTTTGGCACAACTTTTGCACCTCCCGGCACCAACCCCCCCTCCCTCTTTCACACACAATCCCCGCTCTTCGTGATTCTCTTCGGTGTATACTCCAACTGTGCACACCTCCCAAGTGTCTTGTATTTCTCTCCTCGAACCGCCCGAAGACTTTATGCACTGCACCCGCTTGTATACTCCCTATCTCGCGCTCGTTGCTTCACCCCTTTGATTTATATTTTCTTGGTCAGATTTTTCTGTTCTTATTCTTCCTTGCCTCTTTGACTTTTAGGTCTGCGTCGGATCTTTTTATACGAGTAGAAAAAAAATTCTTCTTTCAAGGAAAACCCGTAGCAGTGAATGATGGGCGCGAGGACATAAAGCGCGCCCAATAGAAGGGAGAAATCGTCCAAGAGAAACAAATAGGGGGGGATGCGTAAACACGGGGTAAACGTTGCCCGCGAAGCAAAGGGGGAACAAAAGTGAAATTTCACGGTTAATAAAATCCTTGGCGGAGAAGGAGGTGGAGAGGCCGCATTTCGGACGTTAATGTTTCCGGCGGTCCCCGACGGAATTCATCACGCGGGTCCTCCCCAATTGCGGGCACATCCCTTCGAGCGTGGCGATTGTTTGTCGATGCCCTTTGGCCGTTACCAAAGGGGAAAAGAAAGTTCCTATTTCTCGGTGCACGGCGTTCCAGCTCTTTCACTCTCGCGGCAGTAGCTCCAGCTATTGATCGGAGGCCGAGCGGGGTCAGAGAGTAGCACGGCACAGTGCATCCGGTACTGTGGAGGTGTGCGCCCTCCCTTTGCCACTTCCTCTCTCGCGCTACTGCACCCCCTTTCCGTGGGATGCGAGAGGGGCACCACACGTGGTTTTACTTTTTTATCATTTGTCCATCCATACGTTTATAAGGGTGCAATATACGGATGAAACGAGGAGCCTGTTAAAATCCGATGTCGTACATCCCGAGCCATTTTACCCGAGGATGACGGACGTTGTCTCGATTCTTTACGCGGACGCATGTAGCACTGGCTTTTTTCCCTCAAATCATACATTGGACTACAGTTACTAAAAAAAAAAAAAAAGAAGAAGAAAATACAGAGAACCGAGTGGAGGAAACGATATCATCGACAAGGAGAAATAATTTCAGCCACCGGAGCATCGGCCGTACTTTACGGGCCTCCCTTTGACCTCGCATGTAATATACCTACGCACTTGGTCCATTATATGCCCACGGCAGTAGAAAAAAGAGAGAAAGAACAAGGTGGGCGACCGCGAAACGGCGCGATACCATCTGCCCACTGGCGCGCCGTTAACCGGCCTTTTAAGCCCCTATACACAAATATATTCATGTGCCGACCGTAGCGCACGTATATACCGTATCACGGGTTGAAAAAAAAAAAACCAGCTCCGCTCGAGATAGGTGGTATATTTTATTAGGGAAAGAGAGCCAACGTAGCGCATATATGTTTACTAATTAAAAACGAGCCCGCCACTGTTACCCCCCCCCCCCCTCGCGCGGACACGCGTGCGTCGAAATTGCCCGGCTCGCGTATACTTAATAACACGCCGAGGCGCGATTTTTATACACGCGGGAGGCCTGTACGCGGCGTTTTTCTTTTTCCTCCTATTTATTCACTTCGTGCCGCTCTTTTGTATAATTATCCTTACGGCTCGCGCCATTGTATAACGTGATGGTCCGCTCTATTTGAGGAATATGTAATTGCATCGCATACACACGTGTTATAGGGGGCGTATGCAAAATTATTGTGTATACCCTTATGCGTCGAAATTTTTCCCGACAAAGTCGAACCTCGTTGCCGTAATTCGCGTCAACGCGAAATGGAATGGTAGTTTTTTGAATAATTTGTATAGGCAGCCGCAGTCGAGGGTAAAAGAAAAAAAAAGAAAAATCTTGGATTTAATTGCGCCGTTTAAAACTTTGCCAGGAGCACGACGTTTATTACGAGCGTACCTAATCTGATGGGGATTTTTTTTTTTTTTTTTTTTTTTCGTTAATTTTTCAACACCTTAGTCTTTGATTATGACACGAATTCTGTTTGAAAATGACTCATTTCCCCTGGTTATCTCGGATATACCCAGAGATACAAAAATGCGTACAACACTCGTCCGGCAAAAAAATCATATGTATGGATAATAACCCATCGGTAAGCACTTACCTCGTTGGTGTTCCATCGATGCCTCTGCGTGGGAAAGTGCTCTGCGCGAGGTAGGGTCTCCAAATTCTCCGGCAGCTTAATCGGATCTCCGTCTAGGCGTGCAACAGAAAAAAACAAAGTTTCTTTTCTTTTTCCACTCATGTATATATAATATATGCGCGTGTGTGCTCTTTGGCAACTCGTTATTACCCCGATGGCGGGCATATAAGCCTTCATGTGGAAGGGTGTTAACTCGATTTCAAACTCCGGGTGAGTTAATGTTCGTCGTGCGCGAAACAAAAAAGATCTTTCCTCTGGAGACGTGAAAGTTTGAGCGAGCGTTTACGTATAAGATATAAGCCACCCTCGGGAGAGGGGGGGGGAAAGGAACTCGTCTCCGACGTGGACGAGGGAAATAAGGGGTCCGAGAGCGCACAACTTGGGGGAGTAGGGCGTCTAGCCTCTGACCCCGTTCCATAACACATCTCCGCGCGATCGGTGGACAGGGGCAAGGGGGGCAGATATTCGCTCGGCAACAGCGCGTGTATACACCAGCTCGTCGGGGCAGCTCTAATGACCGGTCGTGTGTTTTGTTGCTTCTCCCCCAAACAACGGCGGGGAGACGTGTACAGCTCCTGCGGCCAACAACTCGCGTTGCCGATTGAAATTCTTGGTAAATTATGCCGGGAGCCGAGCTAAATTGCGAGACGTCTCGACTTTTGGAATTCGACCGAGGCGTTTTACCTTACTTTTTTTGGTCTCATTTTTTGCCCATCGATCCACCCGGTGTTGTTTGTACTATATACACTGGGTGAGCCGATGAATTTTGGAATCGCCTCGGGGACGTGTAACGGTTTTGTCCATCTTAGAGCCAGGGGCTATTGCGATGGTATAAAAGAAAACGGCAAAAACGTACGTACAATTTACGAACCGAACTAGCGGGACAAAGAGCATTAAGAATGTCCCTGTGTGTATCGAGTGGCCAATAAAAACGATCGAAAGTCTCGACTTCAGGGGTCCTCGGAAGCAGCTCGGCTCGAGGATCGAAAAAAAAAAAAAACAGTCAAAGATAGAACGTGTGGGTTGGAGGGGGGGCTGGGGTCACGCTCGCGCTGACCAGTGTAAGTACACTCTCTGATACCGCTGCCAACACTGTGTATATGTGTTTCGCCATTATCAATTCAAATGACGGAAACAAAGCAAGTGTGGCCGCCAGTGTTGCATGTGTGCCTATACGCGAGTGTAGTGTCGATATTTGCATGTACGTCAGGCATCATTGAGCAGGCGAAGGGAGGACAAAGGGAGAGGGTGTATAAAAAGAAGAAGAAGAGCCGTGTAAGCACGTGATGAAATGGGGGGTCGGGGGAGCAAAGATTCATGTGCCGTCACACCCATCGAGGGAGATAGGGACAGCACTTGTGTGTATACGTACATACGAGGGGAGCAATAACGAGCCCGAGACACGGAAGAAAGTATTACAAAGCGCGAACGTCGCACGGCCATGTCCTCCGCGTCTTGAGCACCATGTGCTCCTCGTGCCCCCTCCCCCCCCCTCGTTGTGCCTAGGTGTGTATATATAGGTATGTATGCATGGTTCCCTTGAGGCATGCGCAAATGGGCTTCCCCCCCCCCCGGTATATGGTGCACGCGCCACCACTACTGGCACACATTCCCCGAGAGCAGCAAATCCACCCTCCCTCTCGTTGCTGCTTCCCCCCTGGTTGGATTGCGTGCGACGCCGTTTGTCCCCTTCCTCCCCCGTGGCAGGTGTATAATTTGCGATTCCAGTGGCCGGTTTATGGAACGCGCGCGATCGTTCTCCCTTGTGTTTATTGAGGATTACTCGACCACCGACCGTTACTGTAGCTCTACTCTGGCCCACCGATGCCTCCTCGATGTATAAATCCCAGTCCTCGCCGGCCGAGGATCGGAGCTTGGGGATCGATCCGTGATGATATGTCTCCTCCTCGTCACGTGTTGTGTGCACATGAGTTTTTTTTTTTTTTTTTTTTTTTTTTTTTTTTTTTTTTTTTTTTTTTTTT